GGTGGGGGGGTCTGGGGGGCGAAGCCCCCCAGCCGAAGGGACAGGGGGCAAACCATTTTCTTTCCCCTTATCTTTTCTTCCCTTCCCTTACTTTTCATTTCTTTCCTTTTCTATTTTTTTCTTCTCTTTCCTTTCCTTTTCTTTCCCTTTCTTTTCTTTTCCTTTCCTTTCCTTTCCTTTCCTTTTTTTTCTTTTTTTTTTCTGTATTTTCATATCAGATGTGCATGAGGCGCAAGAGGCGTACGCCTCTAGCACGCCTCATGAGAAAAGCGCAAGAGGCGTACGCCTCTTGCACCTGAGGCGTACGCCTCAGAGGTGTCAGCACCTCTGGCATATGCCTCAGGGCGTTTTGGGAGTGCCTCGCCTGGAGGCGTGCCTCCAGGCATACGCCTCCCACGCCTTTTAAAACACTGGTCACAACTACTTACAATTTCAATTGAATTGTATGATTCAAGTATGAAAAGTAGAATCCAAATCTTGAATGGATTCAATATAATGTTTGATCAAGTGTAAGATTCAATCTGGACCCAAAACTAGTGATTTCAATCCAAATCTTGAAGAGTTTCAGCATGCAAAATCATCCAGAGATCTTTAAAATCAAGGAAGAAAAATCAAGCAAAATGTTCTTCCAATGGATTTTATTAAATATAGTCTAAAAATCTGAAAATTACTTCCAAGAATTTATTAAATATAGTCTAAAAATCAAGGAAGATGTCTTTTTAGAGGAACCTTTTTTGCATAAAATATGAACTTGATTTATAGGAAAAGGCTTGGGTTCGGTGACACAGGCACCTTAACTTCCAATTCTTCTAACCAGGACCTACACATTACATAACCCTACCTTGTGAGATACACAAAATTCTTTTTTTCTTTGAAGAAGAAGAAGAAGAAGAAGAAGAAGGTAAGATAAGATTTATTAATAGAACAAACTCAATACAAAAGGACCCAGACAAGTACATTAATTGACTTCTTTATTACAGATATATAGTAACATGCTGTGATTGCATAGCCACAGATCCTCACAAGATTTCTATAAGATGGCCTTTAGAAGGTCCGAATTCTAACCTACAAGCAGCCACAAAACCTTATATTCTGAGGCCTATCAGAATTCAAGTTATCCAACATCAGGAATCTTTATGTATTGCTTATCAGCAAAAAAGATTTCATTAATAATTCAAAATCTCAGTACGGTTATTAAAGCAATTAACTATTCCAAATTACTCATCATATTACAACTTTGCCCAAAACAAAAGAGGCCTGCCAACTCTTTGTTTTGCTAACACATCTGCCATCCCATTGGCAGTCCTTACCTAGATGACAATAAAATTAAACCTCTTTGCTAGGCTATCAATTTCCAGAAAGCATGTTTGTATTTCCAAAGGGCTGGATTGATTTTCTTGGTCCATGTGATGACTAGTTGTGAATCTCCTTCAACTTCCAATTCCCTAATTCCAAGTTGTACCGCAAGTCCCAACCTTGTAATAGAGCCAATATTTCAGTCTGAACTGAGTCTAAAAGCCAATCGGTCCCAAAAATAAGGCCACTACCTCTCCTTGGTTGTTTCTAAATACTCCCCCTATGTCAACTCTTCTTCGATTGCCCAATGAGCTGCCACCAAAGTTCAATTTCAGTTTATTAAAAGCTGGGGGTTTTCCATTCCATCCTTACATTTTCTACATGCCTAACTGTATGTGCCACTTCAATCCAAGGCCTTATTATATCATTGGTTGAGAATTCACAGAAGAAGTCCAAAGTCTTTACCCAATGTGATGTCCTAATTGTTATGGCTTCAATCAATTCCTCCTCTGATTTACTCTTCTCACTAAAGATCCTTTGATTTCTTTCTTCCCAAATAGTCCACACCACCACTGCTCTTACTACCCTCCACATAATCCTTCCTCTCTTTTTTCTGTTGCCTCAAGAAACTAGTGTTGAACAAACCTACCACATCCTGCGAGAGAACCCATCTGCAACCAAAAAGAGAACAAAAGAATTCCCAAATGCAAGACACAAATGAGTAGGAGATTAATAAATGAGAAGGGTCTCACCGCTATCCTGTAAAGGAAACACACATGAGGAGATAGGCACTTATTTGGCCTTCTTTGTTGTAACAAGTCACAGGTGTTGATCTTTCCAAGAAACACTTCCCAAAACAAAGCTTGTACTTTAGGAGGGATAGGAGGTTTGCACCATATTTCTCTTACCGGGAAGTTCACCCCCAAAGGCTCAGATAGAACAAGGTTAATAAAAAAAATAAACACAAGTGAAGAGGCCATCAGGCAAGGGAACCTAGACCACTTCTAAAACCAAAGTCCCAGTGCAAACTATGTTCCCAAGGGTGACCAAATTTGGAAATAGGTTCAGCCTTGTAGTTGGACCTAGAGTAGAGTGTAAAAAATTGCATCTTAAGGGGCAGGTCCCCAACCTAAAGTTCCTCCCAAAATAAGACTCTCTCTCCCCACATCCCACATCAAAACGAGTTAAATTGAGAAAGGTAGGCAATACCTCTATTATTGCTTTCCAAGGGGATCTTGATGAAGTATGCAATGCCAGCAGCTAGCTTTGCATCCCAGCCATTTTCCGTCACACCATGAATGCTTCCAATGACCCTATGCCACAATCTATCTCCTGCTAGAGGAAATCTCCAAAGTCATTTTCCTAGGGGGTTTGTAGTTCTCTTAATCAGATTCTCAATGCCAAGTCCTCCCTGCTCTTTTGGTTTGCACACTTGCTCCCATTTTATCAAAATTGTCTTTTTCCCCCCCATTCAGTCCCATAAGAAGTTGTATTTCTCTTAATCAGATTCCCAATGCCAAGTCCCCCATGATCTTTTGGTTTGCACACTTGCTCCCATTTTATCAAAGTGGTCTTTTTTCCCCTCATTCAGTTCCCATAAGAAGTCCCTCATAAACTTTTCTAATTGCCTTGCTATTTTGCCCAGTATTCTAAAGGTGGTTAGGTAGTTAGCTAAGGTGGATTTGATCAAAGCCACTCCTCCTCCCATAAATAAGTAGCTTCCTTTCCACAGCTAATTTTTTTGCAAATCTTGCTACCACCACATTCCAAAAGCTTTCTGATCTCGAATTACCTCCCAAAGGCATACCAAGATATACTAGAGGCCAGATTTTAACCTCACAACCTAGTACTCATACTACCAATTGAATATCTTGCTCTCCCATGTTAATTCCTGTCACACAACTCTTACCCCAATTTACTTTCAACATTGAGATCCTTCGGAACCCATCTACTAAAGCTTTAAGTTCCTCATGTGAGATTCATCACAGTCCTCACAAAAAAAAAATGTCATTTCCAAATTGCAAACAAGTACAACAACCTCATTCCTGCCAACCCTCCAACTTCTAATCAAATTGTCTAGATCAGCCTTGATAATCAATTTGCTTAGAACTTCAACAACAAAGGTAAACAGGAATGAGGAAATAGGATTTCCCTGTCTTAAACCACTTTTTGCTAGGGAAGAATTCCCTAGCTGCTCCAATTACTAGAACCAAGAAATATACTGAGCTAATGCACCCTTTGATCCACTTCATCCATCTTTCTCTCAAGCCATTTTTTTTCAAAAGAACAAGTGTTATTTATTCCATTATCTCTTTTTTTGTGTTGTTTATTCCATTCTTCCATCGATTCATCGGAACAAACTTCTCCTCCATAATCTCTTTTAAGTGTTGTTTATTCCATGCTCGAGAAAGATTATTTTCACTTGTAAATCTTATACCATTGAAGTCTCCCCTAGACACCAAGATCCCTCCCACTAACCCCTAATTGCAACTAATTCCTCCCACAAAAGGTCCCTATCTCTATACAAGTTAGGGCCCTAAACATTTGTTAAGACCCATTCTCTCCCATTACTCACTTTTTTTGCTTTTGTTGAAACTAAAAATTGTCCAACCAACTCCGACACTCCACCTCATTTATCCATACTGTAAGAATTCCCCCTGAAGCATCCCCCAGAAGGGGGCAAAAGACCAGCTCAATCCTTTACCACTCCAAATACTTCTTATCCATCTTCTATCCATCTCTGAGAGCTTTGTTTCTTGCAGCATTAAAATATCTAGTCTCTCTTTCCTTGCCACATTCTAAGGAATCTTTATGTATTCCCGCAATCTTATAACGTGAATATCAATTCAATTTGAATTCCGCTCCTAACAATCAATAGAAGTGATATCAATTATCCCATGTTTGGGAAATTCCTTAGTTGCATTTGCACTGCCCAGAGGAACGATAGCACATTGGGGTGTGTTCAACAATATGAACGGTTTTGTTTTGAAAAACAAAAACTGCCACATCAGCAAAAATGTATTGTGGCAATTGTTTTTGTTTTAGAAAACAAAACCATTTGCATTGTCAAACATCCCCTAAGATGTGAGCTAATCAGAGAGGAATATGACCAAAAAGGCCCCTACTGAGAAGACAGTAACGAGTCTACAAAATCTTTTTGCATTCCATATTTCCATTGCCATCCGTATAACATAGGGGTAAGGGATGAGGGATCATAGGAATTCTGTTATTTAAATTGCAGACAAGTCCATTCTTAAATATAATGAATTTAAAAGTACCTGCTGATGTTCAGGAAGTGGGAAAACATCACCAAAAATTGTGACCCTTGCATTTGATAGCCCACTCCATCCAGGTATCTACAATATATAACTGTCAACAAAATCATAGAAGGAGAACGACCATTGACCCAAAGAAGATAGAACTAAGTGACCAAGCCAAGATTCAGAGCACTAACCTGTACAACAAGCGTACATCTAGGATCTGCCAACAGATTCCGTGTGTGGATAGCCAGTGGTGAAAATGAAAAGATTGGATCTTTCAAGAGAAAAATTAGAAATTTAAAGTAAATAAGTCCAAAGTTTGATGATATGAAAGAAAATAGAAAATCAGGAAAAAAAGCATGCTTTTGATGTAGGGTAAATGCACACAGGAGAGACCAACTGCTTAACAGGTCAGATGTAGGATACCACAAGCATTAAAAAAAACCATAGAACTAGATGATTATAAAGTCCATTTTTATGAAATTCCATCTGGATAAATGTTACTTTTGTGGCAAAGAGTATATCACAGATCACAAGTTATAATATCTCAGCATGGGGGGTGTGTGTGTGTGTGAGTGAGTGAGTGAGAGAGAGAGAGAGTTTTCTTAGTAAAAAATCTCCTAAAAGGAACTTCATCAAATAGGTCCTAGTACCAATGCATGTTTGGTAGACCATGAAAAATTCTAACTAATGAGGGCATTTACAATCTATTTATCTACCTATCAAATTGTTGGTCTGCATGTCAAAACCAAAATTTTGAAATTGAATGACTTACGGCCCATAGAGTCTGCTGCAAAATCTACTAGCGAACCAAATGGGTATCCCATTCGCCGGTGGTGCATCCGAGACATTACAGTGCAGAGATGAGCAAATCTGGCCTTGAATCATAAAGAGAACAAGAAAAAGGATAAGAAATCAGAGCAGTTAATGATGTAAAGCGATCATTTAACTATTTTCTATTGGTTGGAACTGAAATTAATGCATACCATGAGCAAAGCAGTTGTAAGCAACAATTTTAACATAAAACCAATATAACAACCCTTACCTGTTCCATCAGATTGCGAACTGCCAATGCTGGTCGAGGTAAACCATGAGCAGAGGTTGCACTCTGAACACCACCAGAAATTGGTGTTCTGAAAAGGCCAGCTCTTGAACCTCCACTTGTTCCACTTCCACTTGTAATTGTAAAAGGTAATACTATCTTTGCATTTTCATCTTCACCTTTTTCACTACTTCCATTTTGAACTGAATTACCCTTCAGAATATGACAGATGCCATCACAACAATGTTGAAGTAGCCATTTTCTATATCGATGCATTGACTACATTATAAGAAAAGAGGAGGGTAGATGGGTATAAACTGTACAGTGCTAAAAAGATATTAGAAGCTAAGATACAACACTGTCAGCCATCTGGCAGAATGATAAAGATTGCGAAGCCCCATTAATTCAGTACAACTGCCCATATACCAAATAGTGTAAATTGCTTATTGAAATACAGAGAAATAAACAAAGGAGCTTTTAGAGATAAAACAGGGTAATTTTGGATAAACTGAAGTGAGGTGGCAAAAAGCTCTTATACTAAGAAGTTGGCAACCTTGGTTTAGGTGCCTCCTGCATACATCAAGCTGAATTTTGACGAGAGCAGCCTAGGCAATCCAGGTCCTATGGAACAAGGGGAGTTTTTAGAGATAAAGAAGGGCATGTCATTGCTTTGTTCTCAGGACCAGTGGGAGTAGGGGACTCCATTAGGGCTGAACTTCTCGCTGTAATACAAGGTGTACAGATAGCAAAGAGATGAACTTGGAGAAGTTGATTTCTGAAGAGGATTCAAAGCTAGTCATGGAGTGGTTAAAGGAACCGGAGGCTGTAATTTGGACAGGGATGAAATTAAGAAGCTCAAGTAGCTAACAAGAAACATGACTTTGAGGAAACAATGGGCTAGAAGGTCGGCTAATGGAACGGCTCATGGCTGATACCTTAGCCAAGCAAGAGGTGAATAGGGATCAATCAACTGTATTAGGCTCAATTGTAACTTCAATTCACTTTGTATATTTTCATATAAGAGGTTGCACCTCATGCCTCTCTAAGTGATGTTTGTTCAAGAAACAGGTTTTTGAGGAATCAATGGACTAGAAGGTTGGCTAATGGGATGGCTGATACCTTAGCCAGCAAGGGATGAATAGGGAACAATCAACTGTATTAGGCTCAGTTGTAACTTAAATTCACTTTGTATATTGTCATGTAAAGAGGTTGCACCTCATGCCTCTCTAAATGATGTTTGTATTGTTTGTCCTGTTTGATATTTCTTTAATAAAATTCTCTATTACTCATCAAAAAAATATGAAATAAGCAAAGTGTTCAGAAAAATAAAGAATCAAAAGAAAGAAATAATATTAAGTTTTGGGGGAATAAAGAATCAACAGAAAGCTTCCCCTCTTTAAAGTACCAAAGAAAACGATCTATCTAACCAAATAAAGCAATAAAATCCGTTCCAAGACCTCTCTGTCTGGATAAGTAACTAGAATGCCACAAAGAATATTGGTACCAAAGCATACATGACAATAACCCAAAAATAGATTCCAACAAGGATTGAATTGATAGCTTAGCCCAGTTTCCCACTTTAGCAAAACATATTGAAGACTTGTTAGTTGGCTGGCTAAAAATAAATAGGACAGAGGTTTAAAGATAGTTATAGTATTCCTTTTTTTTATTAGTACGGTATTGTATTGCTAAAAAGAGGATGAGATGCCTCAAAAAATTAAAAAAAAAAAAAAGTTTTTTCTTTTTTTTTTTTGTTGAAGAAGCAATTACATTTGAAAGTTATGTTTGTTAAACTGGTAAACTTTTCATTGACCACCCATGACATGGACCATCAATTGAAATGGGAGTGATGCATAGGAGGACCATGTAGGTGTATTAGCATCAAAGGCAATCTTTTTCCCTTTGCAAAGCCAATGTATTAAATAATATTCATCAAAAGGTTTAAGAGTATACAAGTGTATAACAATAGTTATACAATAGGACCTCTGTTATTGATGTTATTAATGATCAAAATTAAATGTTTGTCATTTTTCTGTTTATGCAATTTAGGTCAATTAAAAGTATAAAATGGAATTGGTTTTGATTACACCTCAGGAATTATAGTGACCCAATTCCTTCAAATCCCATACTTTCGAATGATGGGGGGAGGTTTTATTTGCAAACCCATCTCCAAAAAACAGGGCAACCCAATGAAAAACACCAAGGACCTTCAAGTATCAAGAAAAGTTGATCCCTCAATCCTACCATATTTCCAGCCTTCAGCGTTTTTTGACCAAGCTAATGGCTTTTGAACAAGTTCTGGGTTTGGGATTAACTTGAATCGGAATTCACGCACGCCAGGTGACAGTTCGAATAGTTCAACCACCCGGGTCAACAACAGTTTGAAATCACCGAAACAAGCAATAAGATTAGTAAGCCCCGGTTTAGGAGTGCTTATTGGATAAATAAGTGCTTACAAGTGCTTGGTGAAAAAAGCGCTTCTTTCAAATGGGGGTAGTATAAGTATGTTGAAAATTACATGGTGGGCCAGGACAGGCCAGAAACGTAATATGCACTTACTAAAAAAGTACTTAAAGACAAGCCAAAAAAACTTGGCTTCTTCAAAACAGGCTTATTTTCTGACATAAGCACTTATTTGGCTTTTTTCCCAAATGCACATAAGTGCTTATTGTGTGGTCCTGGCCTAAAATAAGTGTTTTTTTATTCAATTCACAATATCGTGGTTCCTAAGAATCCCATTCCTGCTTACTAGAATCCTCATTAAATGGAGGCAAACTTGTTCAAAGCTCTTACTTGATAGCTCCTCAATCTGTGATAGAGAAAGAAATCAAAGGCGTTTCTACAAATACCACCACAAATATGATTCATAGCTCCAGTCTAGTACATATTTGTTGCCCATAATAAATAAAGTTTCTGTTACTCATCAAAATCAAGAAAATATGATTCATGGCTCCACAAAACTTCAGTACTTCTTTCCTTGTCATTGAAGTGGATCTCATCACCTTCACTTGCCCCTTCGTTTCCCTCCATTCCTTCTATCCTTGTTTTTAGTTCTCTAGTGGGAATACAAAATCAGCATTATCCATGGCTAGTCTTCTGACTTAGGGCATAGTTGTCAAAATCTTGCAACTTATGATACAATTAATGATCCAAATCATGAATCCAAGCGACCCAATTCAAATCTCACGTATGAATCCTTTTTCCGCAAATATCTTATGATTACTGTTTGAATCCTAAGATCAGATTCATGAATCTTATGATTTCTACTATCTGAGTACTACAACAAGAATAGAAGGAAAGGAGGGATCATTCATGCACTAAAATAATCATAATCTCAGTAGCCAAAATAGAAAAAAAATAATCACAATCTTATTATTTATATTCATCAGTTCATTCCAACCCATGAATCCACTTTATGAATCAAGGTGCTATAACCGATGCCAAAAGAGATTTAAAAAGTTGGACCTGTTTATTCAATTTAGACCGATTAAAAAAACATATTAAAACCAAACATGAAAATAAAGACTTGAAATACTGTTTTTTCTTTTCTTCTGCATGTTTGCTTCAAATTATAGTCTAGACCACGAATCCATTGAGTACTAAAGCTAGTGGCAATGCAAAAGTAACAAATAAATGGACATAATCATTCTCCATCTTAATCTAAACAAATAATCATTTATCAAAATTGCAAACTTCCACGAAGAAACTAATAATAAACATTCAAAGGAAGTACTAGATAGCAGGTAGAATTTTTGCATCAAAATTACCTCTAACCAAGATGAAGACGAACCTTCTTCAGGAATCAAACTAATCTCATTTCCCGATGTCCCCTCTTCTCCCTCGTCTGAAATCTCCCGAGTAAGCGCTCGAACTCGAAGCCCAAATGGTAATACTTTACCCGCACCCCGATCCTTCCAAGAAAACCGTCTTGTTTCCAAATTCTCGCAGATTCTGATAGACCCACTTGGCTTTGTCGAGGATTTGATCGAAAAGGGCGCCGATTGAACAGTCAGGTAACTCTCTATGAGCCTCGAAGAAAAAACTGAGCTCGAAAGTGCTTCCATGGGCAATACAGAAACCTCGAAAGATATCAGAGAATGAACAACCGTGACAAAAACAAAGGCTGGTGTAGAGAGCCTCTAATATCTCCGTAAGGGTTTTAATGGGTTCTGGAGGAGGAAAAGCAAGACTGCAATGGTCCCATGGCTACTTATATTTCTTTAATAAATGACAGAACGCTTTTCAAAAAAAAATGAAAGAAAAGAAAAGAAAAGACAACGCATTTTATGCTTTCTTTTCAGTTTAAGGTTCTGTTTGGTGGCGACAAAGAAGAGAACAAAGTTCACCCGTTCAACACATCCATAATGCCAAATCGCAAAAGAGAATGAAGAGGGACAATTTATGATACGAATGGTTTAACTTTTTATTTTGGTTAAATTTTTTAAACTATCTTTATGGTTTAGCTACCCGTACTGTTTATGAAAATTGACTAATGCTACCGTTACTGTTTTATCATTAACGTCTGTCAAGATAGATATTAAAATACTATTTTACCCTCCATGGTAGATTACTTGGATCTCTCCCTTCGCCGTAACTACCAAAACCACTGGAACTTGGATCGGACAAGACTCCTTATGCTAAAACCGTAGATTTCTCAAAATCGCCACTCTTTCTCAGGCGTTCTTCTCCAGAATCGCCATTCTTCTTCGGAACTGCAGAGGCTGGCATCCCTCTCATTCTCTTTGAAACCACTGCAACCGCCACTCTTCTTCTGACTACACAGCTATCTTTTGATGACTTTGGAGATGCAAAGGCTTGGCCTCCTGGGTTCTGATTCCACACTGCTATCTTCTGATGATTTTGGAGATGCAAAGGCTTGGCGTCCTAGGTTCCGATTCCACCCCACCAATGAGAAACTGATCCTCTATTATCTAATGATGAAAATGTGTCGACGCCGAATCCAGCTCAATGTGATCACAGAAATCGACGTCTACAAGTGGATCTAAAAGTGGGATTTTGAAGAATTACCAAGTATCATCATATTCTCTCTCTCTCTCCGTCTCTTTCTTAGTTGTATGTATTTTTCTTGTAAGCTTGATCGAGTTGAGACTGTTGATTTTCACTATACCGAGATTCAGATTGACTAAGGGTACATCAATTAGCTAAACCATAAAGGTAATTTAAGAAATTTATCCTTTTATTTTTTATTTTTAAAAATGTATTTTTCGGGCAGAAAAACCTTTTAAAAAGTTTACAAGCTTTTCCCACAGGTTAAATGGATGGATTATCCATCTGGGTCAATGATAATGGATTAGAGGTTGACCAAAATCAAAATTGTAACAGAATATTCGGGTCGTATTAATCAAGTCAAGTAAGGGTGAGCGTTCGATTTGTTCGGTTAAAAACCAAACCGAATAAATCGATTTTTCAAAAACCGATATACCTATTTGAAAAACCGAAGTTTGCAAAAACCAAACAAACCGAACCGAATTTTTTTTTTCGGTTACTTCGGTTGATTCGGTTAAAATCGAATTTGCTTGCTACTCTCGATCTTTCCTATGCATTTGTGCAAATGCATATAAAATTTACGGTACAAATTTTAAGCAAAGAACTTAAAAATTTAAGAATCCGATGGCTAAAAATTTTTCGCAGTCCAGATTCGATGGCTAACAAAAATACCAGGAGCTAGGAATAACTGAAGATGAAAAGGGAAAAATAGAAAACAAAATACTTGTACTTAGAGATTCAAATAGCAAAGAAGAAAACAGGGAGGGAACTAAAATGAACCAAAAAACTATAGATTAAAGAAGACCCACTGGACTCTTATCACTTGTCGCCGCCCGCCGGAAAAATTGGTTTGCTGGATGTTGAACGTTGGACTAGTGCGCTGGAACTGGAACTCGTAGCTTGCTGCTAGTTTCAATAAGTTGCTGGATGTTGAACGTTGAACGTTGGAGTAGTGCGCTGGAACTGGAACTCCATTGTGAATTTTTTTTATTGTTGTGAGTTACAAAAACCAACTTAAAACCACATTGTTTCAATAAGTTGTTTTTTAAAAACAGAAATACATCTTCGTAAGTCATATAATATGTTTTTTCTTTGTTTTAAAATCCTTATTTTAATGGTTTAATTGTTTTTTGAAACAAAATCAACTCGTTTTTACTTCTCAAAATAAAAATATAGTTTGAAAATGTGTCTCAGTTTTTTGTTAATATGATTGTGTGTTTGAAACTGTAGAGAAGATGGGCCGAAAGGCCATAGTTTCTTTTCTTATTTTTAGTTATGTCTAGTTATAATGTTTATGAGTAGTGGGCCTTTAGTTATGGGCATGATTTTCTTTTTTATTGTCCTTAGTGCTGGCTGCCCTACTAAAGGTACACATGTAATTATGTTCATATTACAATTAACTAAAAATAAAAGATAAGATTAGGGGACTGAAGAGATGATCAATCCAACTCTCTCTTCTTTCTTCTCTTTTCTTTCCACCTTCCTCCATCACTTCTTCCTCTTCCATCTTCTTCTTCAATCCTTTTCTTCTTTTTATTTTAGATTTTTACAGGTATGATTTTCAACTTGGAATCAAAGCAACGGTCTTATTTTTTATTTTCTTCTCCTTAATCCCATACACAGGTTGTATGCAAAGTTGATTAGTTGATTGATTAACAGGTATTCAATCCAGTCAGACAAGGTTTTTGGAGAAGTTTGAAGTAGTTGTTTAGGGCCCAAGGCATCTTGGAGAGTTTCTCGAAATCCCTAGCTAACTAGAGAAGTTTCTAATTAAAGGTTATAAGGGAGTACGGATGTGGTGCCTGGGGCTAAAATAGAAGTTTATTGACTATCTTTGAGATCGATCCAAGTTGGAAAGATTTCAGGAACCTCTAGTAGGAGCAGCTAGACTTTCTTCCCTTCTATTTTGTCAAGTCTTGTGAAAACCTTTATTTGGTTGTTTGAAGAACAATTTTGGCCTTAGGGCAATAAATCTTGTTTAGTAACACCCTATTTTGATTTTGTTTGTCTCTGTTTGGCCAATGGAGCAAACTATAGTGAAATAAAACTCTCCACAAACTCTAGTTTGGTCTAGGAGGGTCTATGGAGACCCTATTAGGAGCAATAACCTCGATGAAGTTGGATAGAACCAATTTTTTGGCATGGTCTTAGTTTGTAAAGATTCATGTTTGCAATAGAGGAAAATTGGGGGTACATCATTAGGACCAAGGGAATTACCCTACTTATGAGAGATGGATAAGTAGGTTAGTGAATTCTACAAAAGAGGTGTGTGATAGTGTTATAGAGACCTATTCCCATAAGTTGAATGTTGTTAAGGCTTACAAGTTGAAGAATGATGTCAATAATTCAAGATAAGGGGAGAAACATTTGGTTATTTACTTCTTTGTGCTGAAATCTCTTTGCTAGGAGATTGACTTGATGGGGACTGTTGTGTGGAGTTGTACCGAAGATATAGAAACACATATGAATCTAGTAGAGAGAAACTGGGTCTTTGAGTTCCTTACTAGACTTAATCCTAAGTATGATATTATCAAACAGAATATTTTAGCAAAAGAAGTGACATTATCCCAAGCCTATGCCATGATTAGCAGTGAGGAGAGTTGGAGACAGTACATGTTACAAAAATATCAACATATCACTTTGCCAATGTTTAGATAAAGTCAAGGGCTGGTATTGAGAAGAAAGATGCAATATGTGAGTATTGCAAGAAATCTAAGCACATGAACAATACCTATTAGAAGCTACATCTAGAATTCATACCTCCTAGATTTAAAAATAACAATAATGATAAGAAGAGTGGGACTAGGAAGAATGACATTACCACTATAGCCACCTATTCTGAGGTTGAAAAATGTTCTAGTGATGGAAAGTCAGTGGGGGGAACAACTTGCAGTTGCTAGAGTAAAGTATGAAAAGTATGGATGACTCATTAGCCACTTAGAGTCTACTACTACAGTTAGTACCTCATTAGGAAATGGTTCATCTTTTGCATATGCCCATTCAAGTATTTATGCTACTACAAATCATGCTTCTATATCAGGTAATCATAGGATCCCTTGGATAATTGATTATGATGCGTCTGACCATATGACTAGTGTGTCACATTTATTTTCTATTTACTAGCTTATATCTAACTAAGATAAGATCTCCCTTGTTGATGACTCCCTTGCTCCTATCTCTACCAAGGGAAACATCAGAGCTTTAGAGACCCTCATCTTATCATCAGTTCTTCATGTTCCTAAACTAAACATTAACCTACTTTGAGTTAGTAATTTGACAAAATCATTGAACTGCAATGTAACATTTTTTCTTTCGTATTATATTTTTCAAGACATGAAATCTCATAAGGTGATTGGGAATGCCCATGAGACAAATGAGATATATTTGTTAGGCATGCCTGGACAAAGTCAAATATCACCTCAAATAATTGCTTTTGGTTCTAATGTGTTAGAGTCAGTCAATTATATTTTGTTATGTCATTATTGTTTGGGTCATATTTCTTTTTTTCGTCAAGTCTTTTGTTTCTATCTTTATTTAAAGAAACTAAGTTGTCAATTATACAATGTAAGTCACATGAGCTATCAAAGCAGTGTAGAAACTCTTATTTAACAAGTAATAAAAGATTTGTTGTTCCTTTTCATATTGTTTACTTTAATTTGTAGGGCTATACCAGTTACTTTTCATGGGTGGTTATAAATACTGTATTCTATTTATTGATGATTTTTCTCATTATACCTGGCTTTAGCTTTTGTGTTCTCGTGCTGAAATACCCAAACTTGTGAAATAATTTCATGAATTTGTGCTTACCCAATTTGATATCTACATCAAGATATTCTAATCAGACAATGCTAAGAAATATTTTGAGAAGAATCTTATTTTATATTTGAAAAGGTTAGGGGTTATACATCAGAGTTCTTGTCTCTGTACTCCAAAACAGAATAGGGTGGCAAAGAGAAAGGATCAACATGTTGTTGAAGTAGCCATGAGCATTCTTTTTGCTTCCCATGTTCGCATGCCTTCTTAAGCCTTAGGGTTCAAATTTCCCTTTTTTATCCTATTCTGTGAAGGTGAAATGTTTCTTATTCATTTGCATGTCTTTGGTTGCACATGTTATGTTTATGTTCCTAGCTTTTAATGACATCAGTTTGAAACTAAGTTTCAAAAGTGTATTTTTCTAGATATGCCTCCACACAAAAGGGTAATTGTTGTT